ATAATATCACCTGATTAAAAAATACCGAAATATCACCATATCGTGATATATAGTAGTTATCACAATAAATACCGATATAGGAATTTATATTGTTCATAATATCACGTGATAAAAAAATACCGAAATATCGCCATATCGTGATATATGGTAGTTATCACGATAAATACTGGTATAGGAATTTATATTGTTAGTAATATCGCCTGATTAAAAAATACCGAAATATCACCATATAGTGATGAAATATGGTAGTTATCACGATATATCGCTAAATTTTTGTCCAGATAAGATATCAACACTTAATATTTGAAACAGATTGGTTTTTTTCATGATATTCAAGACTTGGGTGTTTTTAAGAGATATTTATTGTTTTTTCTTACATTTAGATTTTCTAGACCATCATTTAGTTACAAAAACCAGTAAAAAACATACTTAAAACATATCGCGATATATGCCCATATCGTGATATATTAATGTTTACTATCGTTATATCCACATGGAAGAATATTGCCCAGACCGACTTAAACTAAGATTCCATATACGCGTCATGTGGACTTAAATGGCCCTTGCAGATCCGTCATTCGTCAAATATGATTCCATATGTGCGTTAAACGTATGCGTTATCTTTCTTTTGACGCAAGGACTTCTAGACAGATGGATGCTTTGGTGCATAAAAATACAGGGAATCCTCACAAAATACGTCACTTTTGGGAGATCTCCGCGCGGAAAGGCGTCCGGATGCGTCAAAAATCGCTACACCCGGAGACGGAGACCATTTGACGGATATCGGAATCATACCCTCTTAAACCAATCATTTCGATTTTTAACGCATGACGGATGACATAACAAGGATACGTTATTCAAGGTGTTCACAAGGCGAGCGAACTATTAACTTATATCAAGAGATGACTTGAGCACGAAATGGAGCTTTTTAGAATAGGTAGACATATTTATCTACTCTCTACTTAAAATCTACACGAATTTTTGTCGTGTTGGTTTATCAAAAAGAGAGAGAACTAATTGTTCTTTTAAATAGGATAAAGAATTTTCAAAAGTTTACGTAAACCTTTTAAGTAGTTTTTACAAAAAAGGTGATTTTTGCAGTCAAGGTATAATATGAAGTTTGTAATAGCTTGGCATTGATATAAGTACGAAATTCGTAATAGCTTGACAGTATAAAGATGACTATACTCTGCAACAGATTCAACTTTGCGGAAATTAACGAGGATTGTCGAAGGATATAGTATCGTTATAAAACGAAGCTAAGATAATAAGAATAATAATAATAGTAATAATAATGAGATATTTTGACGTCCGTTTCAAGTTGTTTATTATTTTGGATGAAGTTGCCATCCTTTCAACTATTGTGAAGTGTTTCTTAGACATTTCTATATTTATACATTAAAGACAAGTAGTTAGGACTAACTATAGGACTAACCGGAAGGTTTGACTATATAGGCTACGGAAGAATAAATATAAGGAAGCCTTTTACCATTTGAAGGTCGTTTACATTGTCCTTTGTTTTCTACAGAATATTAAAGGGGCGTAGTGTATAATTTTCACAATTGTGAGCGGAAAAAAGTTTTGATCTACAAAAAAAGCGGAATGTCACTTGAAAGGAGTAGTATGTGCTGACTTCAAAATATCAAGAAATCTATATGAATTATTGGTAAAATGGTCATAAGATTCTGGTTTTGAGACGACACTTGCATAGGTCTTCAAAACGGCAATCTTCGGTAGTTTCCGTAAAGCTGAATCTGAAAATGATGCAGAGCTCTAGCGTAACTTTCGCTGAGGCTGTTTGTATTAGCATCAAACTAGCTTCATTCCAATTTTCAATCAGATGTCTATGGTTCCTGCAATTCCACTAAAACTAAGATTAGTGTTCGATGACGTTACTACTGGTCTCTTATAATGTGATAAAGCATATTTTGTAATTATTGACTTCTTCTAACACATAGTTTTAGTGGAATCGCAGGAACCAAAGACGTATTATTGAAAATTGAGAACCCAATCAAATTAGACTCTCAAACGATAATATGAATTGAAATGGCTTTCATTAAATACTTTAAATATCTCTCGACAATTTGAAAAAAAAAAATATAAATTTATGCCGCTGATCGGACAAATTTTCCTCATCGCCCACTGCACAGCGGTACCTTTGTTCATTTGCTAAAATTAGAGCAGAAAAGAAGGAAGTAAAACTCTTATTTATTTCATTTTCCCCTCATCATAAACGCCACATCAAAACTGATCAATATATTCACCCATTGTGTTGCATCGGAGAGAGAGCTTATCGTGTTTGAATAACTTTTTGAAATAAAGCCACTGAGTTGGTTTTTGTGGAAGAGGATTAGGGCTTATGTAAGCTGCTCGTCTCGAGACTTGACGTATCGTACGTATATTGAAACAAAGGATTTTATGATCAATAGCTCGAGGTGTTCGATTTTAGATTTTCGTTCGGAAGAATTAGGATTTTGCAAGAGGATTGTATTCTGTAAGACATATTGGTAATGTATTGACTGGGGGCGAACTTAGAACTCGAAAACTACTTGGTCTGGGTCGTTACAATGGCTGGACTCTTAATATTTGTGGTTTTATTGGATTTACAAGCAACCGGTTCTGGAAGCTCAATTTTGCAACACACGTTTATAACGCCCTCGGTGTGTACGGGGACAGTTCCGTCAACAAGTGACGCTTACATGGTAGTTACATCGCGATTTATGATGGGATGTTACCGCGCTTGTTGTTTAGATACAGCCTGCTACGGTGCAATGTTTGTACAACCTGATTTCTGTTATTTGTACAGCGAAACAGACCCTGGGTGCTCTGTTATTCCTGTATATCCGGCTCAAAAATTCAGATATAAGTCGGTAAGTATAATTTGTTTCAAGCGTTTATAAAAAAAAATGAATATCTATTTCAGCGCACTATAACGCAAACCTTTCATACGTTCGGCTGAAAACTTAATCACAAGGTTAGAGATTGTATAGAGATTTTTATACGCCCACATGAAATTAACGGATTTTGATGAAACTTGGTGTGAGTGTTATCACCCGAGGATGAACCCTATTTAAAAGCAGAAGAATCGAAAAATATTGAGTATGAGTTATTGCCTTTCTTGAAAACGCATTCAATTTTAGATTGTAAACACTCTAGAAGGCACAATAATTCTTGACGGATTTGACGAAACTTGGTTTGAGTGTTTGTAATCATCCAAGGATAAGCCCTATCGAAAATCGGAAAAATTGAAAAATATTTAGTTTGAGTTATTGCCCTCGGTAATATTATTCAATATCGCCTCAAAAAGTTCAAAAGAAGTCCAAGATCGCAGTTATCAATAACAACGACACCACTTGCCATATTCTTGTTGATTTCAGGGAATAATGAGACATTCCTCTACTCCGGTGTATATCGAAACCTCAACGATGACAATGATTGTGTCGTCACCCAATGCCATACCTACATGCATAAATGGCGGAACCTACAACGCTAGCAACAGTAAGTGTGACTGTGTTGATGGATATGTTGGAGCTTCCTGTGAGCGCTTAATGATAGGTGAGTGGTTCTAGAAGATTCGATCTTCGAAATGTTTCGCTACATTTTCACTTGACTAAACCATTTCGTCTTAAAGGAATTGTAAAGAGGTTTTCTTCAAAATTACGTGTATTTGGGGTAACAGATAGCATCAATTTACACCATTCCCATTTTCAATCAGATATCTGTGGTTCCTGCAATTCTACTAAAACTAAAAAGTGTTTGATGAAGTCACTATTCGCGTAGGGCTTTATGTGATACAAGTCGGGATTCGTGACGTTAAACACTTATTTATTGTGGGATTACGGGAACCACAGACGTCTGATCGAAAATTGGAATGGTGCAAATTTATGCTATTAGTGTCCCCTATAAAAATTAAAAAATCTAGAAAACCTCATTATAGTCCTTTTAAGACGGACTGTGGTTGACTGTGCGACTGGGGAGCATCTGGATTTTTTTGCATGTAACTGGAAGTATCAGATCTATCTCATCCTGATCGTAGTTGTCTCCAGTTTCTGTTGGATGCTCGTGTTCATAATCTTCGACATCCTGGTGATCGCAGTAGCTGGTAGTCGAAATTTGTTTTTGATAGAAGAGTTTCGTTTGAATCGACCGTGACGGATTCGACGAAGTGCTAAGAATAACTCGTCGAGCTGGGCTCGCCGTAAATCGCTGCGACGATGATGGCATCTTGAGGTCGTTAGATATAACCGGATCGGTTTTTTTACATAAGCCTGTCGCAGACGAGATGAACTAGCTGCCTCGAGAGGCTGTCAGCTGAGCAACATTCTCAATACTTTTTCACCGCGGACGAGAGCCCTCGCCTGAGCTATTTTCTCACTAGAAAATCTTCGACGAATTCCGTACGCCAAGGAAAACAACCGAAGAACGTTAGGACTGCATCTATCATTTTCCCGTTATGGAATTCCGCAGAAAAAACAGCGTTTAGGCACGAATAGTCTTGCCATGTTCAGCAAGTTGATCTTCTAAAATCGCATTATTCCAGTTACCATAATGATACCACCGCGTTACTATTGGTTAGCTACTTTCAGCTGGCAGCTAGACGCCCGCACACGGTGAATTTCTAGCCTCTTGAGGCAGAAAATATCAAACACGATAGACAATTTCTTCGCAGTCTCTTTAGGCAGAAATCTCACTAAAAATTAAGCGCACACGGGGGAAACAGCCCAGCTCTCGACCTCTTGAGGCAGGCAGCTCAACTAGTTCCTCTCGTCTGTGGCAGGCTTAAGGGGGGCGGCTATCTTCCATTAACAGGCATCAAATTCGTCTCAGAATGCAGGATAATGTTACAAAAAAGATTCCCGGTTGAGGCATCCCGTCCCCTTCATCTAGTTGAACCACTGGTGTACAAATGTAAACCATTATCCATATAGCAATGATTCTCACATTATTTTGTAGATTGTACAGAAGGTTACCAGCTAGGACACTATATAGGAGCAGGATATGGCGTGTACCAAATCAAACCTCCCAATGCACCGACAGCGTTCACTGTTCAGTGTAACATGAACGACGGGGGAGGCACCATGTTCATGAAGAATGCTCAATGGGACCCAGATATAACGACGGATAAGCTATGGGCAGACTACAAAGCTGGATTTGGCATCGTGATGGACAATCATTGGTTAGGTCTGGAGTACATGCATTATGTATCAGCCAATCGTCCACAATCAGCTTTTATGGAGGTCTTCAGTGACATTGATTATAAGGGCCGATGGCGTAAATATGACGACTTCAGGATAGATGATGAAGCTTCTGGTTACAGGTTGACGTATTCTGGATCCGATCCTTGGACACAAACAGATGCAGATGCTGATCCTAATTGGATAAAAGCCATTCTACCGATCCCACTCGGAGATTCAATGGTCGGATTGAACGGAACCAAATTTAGTACCAAAGATACTGACAACGACGGGAATAGTACTGTGAATTGTGCTGCTGATTTTAAAGGTGGTTGGTGGTACAATCAATATTGTGCCGAATGTAATCCGAATGGTGACGAACGGAACCTGATTTTTTGGCGTAATGATTATGGAGCACATCATATTCCATTTATTGAAATGATGTTTCGTGCAATGTGACTGAAGACAATCGTTGAATTTGTTTTGAGTTTTACCACCCAAACCGCTAATAAAAAAAATGCGCTAAAAATAATAATTATTTACTTTAACGATCGCAGATTTCATAATACGAAACGAAACTTTTTCGATTGGCCAGGATTTTTAGTGACGTCAGTATTATGGTATCCCAGATTTTCTTTAAACAATTTTTTTTTGTTTCGGGTCGTTAGTACTTGGTTTATTTATTATTAGCGGTTGGGGTGGTACGACAGTTGGGATTTACAACCCACCCGTTTCAAAACAGTACAAATGGGCCTAGAATAACTTTGAGTTAATTAAGATATAAGCAAGGGCACATATTTTCTTTTTGAAATTTATTTTTACAGAGGGCAATATTAGGCCCAAATATTTGTCATATTCGGGTAAAAAAAAACAAATGTAGAGTGTATTTTAGTGGATAAATATCTTATTAGTACTTTAAAGGAACGGGTTTGCCATTTTGGGGGGGAGGGGGGGGGGGGGGTGATTTTAGTCTTGAACATCTGCAAAGTCTTGAGAAGTACTAAAAATGTACGAAAATCGTCGTTATTTTATTTCAGCTAATGATTCATAAAAACCTCACTGTCCACTACGTCACGAGACCCCATAATAAAATGTGTTTAACCCGAAACTGACTGCTTATTAGGCCCAAATATTTGTCATATTCGGGTAAAAAAAACAAATGTAGAGTGTATTTTAGTGGATAAATATCTTATTAGTACTTTAAAGGGACGGGTTTGCCATTTTGGGGGGGGGGGGTGATTTTAAAAAAAACATTTTCCGTCCTCAACCAATCAACATACATACATACATAAAATAAAATTATATGTGCACCTTGTGGTCACCTTGAGACAAATGTCATGTGACAAAGCGGCATACCCCATGTTTTTTTTTTCAACAGACAAAAATTCGTCGTCTCCGCCAAACTTAAAGATGGGTTTCCTTATTTTTTAGTGTCAAATTAAGAAAACTATTTGATTAATTGGTGTTTTTAATGAATTATCGTACATTCTTATTCATATCATTATGTTCTTATTGCATATAATTAAGAGTTTTAACCAATCATACATATCAATGTAAGTACAGTCTGGATAAACAAAAAAAATACTTTTTGACCTTTCTTGCTCGATCACTAATTGGAATTCAGCTAGTAATTCTCTTCTAATTTAGCTAATTATGAATTAATTATGGACATGTGAGACAAACTGATATTTTTCCAAGTCATTAGAACACCTCTACTTTCTATTCGTATAAGAATTCGAATTTTCATTTTCATAAATGAGAATAAGGGAACCCATCTTTAATGCTAGGGCAGACTAGAGTATTTTTTTTTTATCGCCCCCACTAATACATTAGACTCATTTGAAAAATACGAAATTCTATTCAGAGAAAAAGTGTAATACATAATTATTCATACAAAAATAATACAGTTAAAATCTGTTAAATAAAAAATGAACCAAAAAAGATTCTCGTGGAAAAAGAAAATATTTATCAAAGCACACCATGCAAGAAACATTAATGGTAAAGAGGGATCCGAAATTTGTACGATACGATGATCACATTCTGCTGTTGCTTGCTAAGTCTCAAATTTTTAAATATAAGGGCATATTTAAAATTTGTCATAAACCGAGCTTACAACCGAATGCAAAATAATATAAAATAAATAAAATAATAGCTGAGTTAGGTTTTGAATATTAAACAGTCTCCAGAAGTACTAGAAATATGCGAAAATCCCATTATTCCTTTATAATATCTCAAACTAGGAATCTCGCTTAGTATTTTAATATGTATTTCTATATATGGCGGAGTCTTAAGAAAAGACGAGTCGTCATTTTAACTTTCAAACACAGATAATTCTAGACACACATGCATCTGAAGGCTCAAATTTCGACGGTGGGATGTGAAATCTATTACTGATTGGCTTAGCTAAAAAATAATTCCCGTTTCTTAGACTGAGATATGATTGCCGAAAGGATGGCGAAACCTTTCCTTTTAACAAACAATAAAGCTAACTTCTATCAAAGTTCAAAATGATGAAATGAGAAATATCCGAAAAAAGAAAAAATTTACAGCTGTTTCTGATGCAGTACTAGTTGTCGACATTAAATCCTTCATCCAACAAGATATCGTCACTAAATCTTGACGACCAATTAGATTTGTTTAAAAAGATTAGCGCGAAAATATCACCTTGTTGGATCAAGAGATGTATGTTGAAAACTTGCTATAATACTTAAAAAAAAAGATTTTCAACATAAGCATAAAATTAGCATGTTTATACAAAGAGGAGTAAAAGTGGTGCCAAAACCATCATTATTCCTGCTGTAAATCGACCTCCTGAAAATATACCAGACAATTCCATAGTAAATTAAAGGTATACTACCTCTAAGGATGACAAGAAAATTTTTTTCTTAAAGTTGGTTAAAATGAGTCTTTGTTCACCAGTGGACTTACCTGGTGTCATAACTATACAGCAGAATCTCTATATAATCTAATAAATCTATAAAACTAAGTAATAATTCATTATACTAAGTAATTTTTAAACTTGCTAAGAAGTGTATTTCAATAATTATTTAGTTTAAAGATGGGTTCCCTTATTTTCATTTATGAAAATGAAAATGCTAATACTTATATGTATAGAAAGTAGTAGTGTTCTAATGACTTGGAAAAATACCAGTTTGTCTCACATGTCCATAATTAATTCATAATTAGCTAACTTAGAAGAGAAAGGGAAGTTGGGAAGTTGGCGTTTAAACTGGAAAGGAGGCGGGGGGGGGGGGGGGAATTTCATTTTCATTTTCATTTAGAGTCAGTGAGAGGATTTATACACGGAGAAGAAAGGAAAAAAAAAAAAATATAAATAAAAATCAATGACTCAACTACCATTATAGAAACTGATTGAATCACGACCATGCCCCTTCCATTAACAGGTAGAGGGGTCTCAGAGGGCATATATTAAAAATTCCCATTGGAGGAACCCCAACCAATATACTTAAGTCTACGGGCCTCCACTTCTGTAGTTGAGCCTCTACGTGTAAATACGTGTACGTGTAATATACCTACCATGGTTTCTTCCATCCTCCATGGGATTACCATCAGCTTTCACTTCAAGACTGCGGGTATTCATCCAGAATGTATCCTTTTCCTGGGCAACAGTCGCCCTGAAATTAACCAAGTAAATATATTCATTTTAGGGTAGCCTACCTAAATTGATCGGAGGGGCAAATAATATTTTCGACAATGGTGTGTTTAGTTGCAGTAACGGAATTGGTCGTTTGTATACGCCCACATTATAATGTGGTCATATATTGTCGTCGCCGTTGTCTGTCCGTCGATTCGTCCGGGAACACAAAAGAGGCTACAGTTTTTATCTGATTTTAATGAAATTTGGTGTGATCATATATATTGATGAGATCTTGGACAAGTTCGTATTTGAAAATTTTTCAATGAATGGAATTGAGTTATTGCCCTTGACCTGACTCAAAATTTATTAGTAGTTTATGTCAAAAAATGAAATTCCCAGTTTGAGATATTTTTGAAGGAATTGTACGATATTCCTAATTTTCTATTACTTCTGAAGACTAGGCCTTTTAACACATTTACAAGACCCAAAATCACATAAAAAAATGACCCTTCTGTCCCTTTAAATTTAATAATAATACCTACTGAAAGACGATGTCCCCAGCATTGATAGATGGTGGAGTCCAGGTAATGATTGTTGTGCCAGTTTTGTCATTGGTATTAGCGTGGGTCCACGAATCGGCAGTAGTGGTACAGTTGAACACTTTGGTATCAGCTGGCGGAGAACTGAACATTCCAATTGGGGCGGTTGAACTACCAGTACTTCTAGCTTGAAGCAACAATCCTTTGAATGTACCAGTTACTGTCACTGAAATTACAATGGGATACCAAACTAAGATTTATTCTGGTCGGTGACCCTCCACCTATCAGTGATGCAGGTAAGAGAAGCTGACTAGGAAAATGCTACAGGCCGTGCACGTTAAAGATCCCTCAACAGCTCGAAATCGAAAAAGAGCAGGCTAATGCTCGTGACCCACGTTCTCCGTCTCAAATCTTGACATCATTTGGAACTGTTTTGTTTGAAAGTCGTGCGACAATTTTCGACAGGCTTTTAATATGCGTTTAAAGGGATAGATTCGCCATTCGTTTGACTAATCCTATGTTAATGTTAGTTCACCGTCGATTTTTGAACTTTCATATCCTTGTGTGCCCAGAATTATCCGCGTTTGAAAGTTAAATTGACGACTCGTCTTTTTTTGAGACCATGATATAGAAAAGACATATATATATATATAGAAATAGAAAGTAAAATACATAGTTTAAGATAACTTTAAGGAATTATGAGGTTTTCGTACATTTCCATTACTCCCGAAGACTATTAACATATATTCAAGACTCAAATCAACCACAACTCCCACCCCCACACCACAACCACTATTTTAACAGTGGTATTTCTATATCTCTACAACTGATGTATTGAACACTATTTTAAAAGTGGTATTTCTATATCGCTCTATAATTGATGCATTGAGCTCTATTTTAACAGTGGTATTTCTATATCACTCAACAATTGATATATTGAGCTCTATTTTAACAGTGGTATTTCCATATCTCTACAACTGATGTATTGAACACTATTTTAACAGTGGTATTTCTATATCACTCTAAAATTGATGTATTGAGCTCTATTTTAACAGTGGTAATTCTACATCGCTCTATTGATGTATTGAGCTCTATTTTAACAGTGGTAGTTCTATATCTCTACAACTGATGTATTGAACACTATTTTAAAAGTGGTATTTCTATAGCTCTCTACAATTGATGCATTGAGCTCTATTTTAACAGTGGTATTTCTATATTGCTCTACAATTGATGTATTGAGCACTATTTTAACATTGATATTTCTATACCTCTCTACAATGGATGTATTGAGCTCTGTGTTAACAGTGGTATTTCTATATCGCTCTATAATTGATATATTGAGCTCTATTTTAACAGTGGTATCTCTGTATTGCTATACAATTGATATATTGAGCTCTATTTTAACAGTGGTATTTCTATACCGCTCTACAATGGATGTATTGAGCTCTGTGTTAACAGTGGTATTTCTATATCGCTCTAATGATGTATTGAGCTCTATTTTAACAGTGGTATTTCTATATCTCTACAACTGATGTATTGAACACTATTTTAAAAGTGGTATTTCTATATCGCTGTAAAATTGATGCATTGAGCTCTATTTTAACAGTGGTATTTCTATATCACTCTACAATTGACGTATTGAGCTCTATTTTAACAGTGGTATTTCTACATCTCTACAACTGATGTATTGAACACTATTTTAACAGTGGTATTTCTATATCACTCTAAAATTGAGGTATTGAGCTCTATTTTAACAGTGGTATTTCTATATCACTCTACAATTGATGTATTGAGCTCTATTTTAACAGTGGTATTTCTACATCTCTACAACTGATGTATTGAACACTATTTTAACAGTGGTATTTCTATATCACTCTAAAATTGATGTATTGAGCTCTATTTTAACAGTGGTATTTCTATATCACTACAACTGATGCATTGAGCTCTATTTTAACAGTGGTAATTCTACATCGCTTTATTGATGTATTGAGCTCTATTTTAACAGTGGTATTTCTATATCTCTACAACTGATGTATTGAACACTATTTTAAAAGTGGTATTTCTATAGCTCTCTACAATTGATGCATTGAGCTCTATTTTAACAGTGGTATTTCTATATTGC